AATAACAAATGCATCTTGAGATGTTTAACTCATCCTTATCAATAATATTATCTACTTTTTCTAAGATTATAAGTCATGGAAAAGCATTTTTCGTTGTCATATTGTCATAGGCTACAAGCGCGTAACGAAACATTGCTTTCTAGCCTCAGTGTCCTGCTCGCGTAGAGGGCTTGGTGGAAGCGAGGCAGAACATAGTATGTCTGCGCTCTTTCACGAGCCGAACAGCCGAGCGTGACGTCACGCACACGGACGGCGGTTCTCGCTTGTATGGGTGCTCCCAGTGGCTCCCACCACCTCGGTGCTCTTGGTGCTAGCCTGCAAGATCTTACATCAGTGCCCTGGTGCAGTCTCGTTTCGTATTGTGTGTTGGTGCGTTGTATGTATAAGTGAAGCATGCACATTTGTACAAAAAAGTGACACACAATACTGATTGTCAAACAAGAACATGTATCTATCTTCTTACACACACATATATATATGTATGACAAATCACATACATGTTCAGGATTGACAATCAATATTGTGTGTAAGTTCTTTGAGTGTGTGCATATGCATGTATGAGTATATATGTGCTTGTTTACAGTCTTAAAAGAAATGAAATGTATAACAATTAATTTTAGATATTATTTTTATAATACTTTCTTATATGATGTATTATACAATTATGGTAATTTTTTTATTACAACGTTTCAATGGAGGACTAAAAAAAAATTACGTTTATTAGAGAAACAACTTCGCCAGGAAAAAGAAAAAAATCTTTAATGCCGACCATGCTACAATACGCGTACAGACGGCCATGCCCATGCCCATGCCAATGCCCATGACCATACCTATGTTTATGCCGTTGTTCACGCCGATGACGTATACATTTATGCCGCAGCCGTATGGACCGCAATACTTCGCGCCGAACGCATATTAGGTAAAATTATTTATAATGTTGTATAATTACTAGACAAAAATATACACACACACATACACATATCATTCAAAAAATTCAAATTTGCTTTGATTAAAACTTTTTTTACTAACTTGTTAATTAATAACATTTTATTTACATTATATATATATTGAAATATAATAATTTTCATTTTTCTTGTAACTTTTTCAGATTCCTCCGCTTCGATCTTTCATCGAGCTCTAAAAGACGTCACCATGTAGCAAAACGAACATTTACTATTACATTGATTTTAATTTATATCTCTGAATCTTAGAAGTGTTTAAAATAGTCGATTCAAAATTAACTTTTGGAAATAAATTGTTTCTAGAAGTTTATCTTTTACATGATAGACATCACACTTTTCAGACGCACAGGTAGATACATAAAATTCAGAGTAAATAGAAGAAGATTGCTACGTAAAACGCTGTCACGAATCATGAATTATCTGCGTCATTTTCTTTACCAAAAAACTATGTAATAAACATCTAATAGGTCTTATCGTTCTAATTATGACGGTATATAAATACTGTTAACAATAATTTATGAAACAGTACTTGTAAAACACAGTATATTTATTACACACACAGTATTATTAATTGGAACTATAAGATATATTTATTTTATGTTTTCTTGTCAAAAAAGAGACGTAGATAAATCATGATTTGCAATAGCGTTTTTATATAGCAACTTATTCTTATTTATTCTGAACTTTATGTATCTAACTGTGTGTCTGGAAAATATAAATTGTGTATACTGTAAAAGATAATTTCTAGACAATTTACTTCAAAAAGTTAATTTTAAAGTGAATAATTAAAATACTTTAAAGATGTTGAAGTTAGAAATTGCCAATGTACTTGTACACTTTATATTATGTGTTTCTGTACATAAACCAAAAGAAAAAAAATATCTCTATGTATCTTGTGGAAAGTCAGCAACATATGGAAAAAAATACACTACATGTAATAACAATATTGTTATATTTCGGAAAAATAAATATTTTACATTGATGTATATTATATTGTTGTTTTCTTTTACCTGATATTATTAGACTAAATATTCTAAGGTTGTAAAATAAACAGAGAGAGAGAGAGAGAGAGAGAGAGAGAGCTAAATGTAATATTTTTTGTTTTATGTACATTTCTTTTATTGTATAGGAAGTTAGTAAATGTAATATTTACTTCAGAGAGATGTATTACTTATTCATTATTCTTTATTGTTTTTTAAATTTTTTCTAAGTAAATAAAATATTAGTAAATAAAATGGTAATTATGCATTTTAGGTTACACATCACCGATTTCTTTGCGCTTCAGATACGTTGTAGGGCAGGTCATACTGAGTGATTGTGTGGAAAAATTTTGTGAGGGACGGCCTTAGTTTAGAAGATACGGCAATTTGAAGTTTCAGAATTTCAATGCTTTATTCTAGATATTACAAGCTGTTATTACGAACAGTTAAGTTTGTGTATGTCGGGCTGATGTGTTGAGGAATGTAAATAAAGCTACAAGGTCAAGATTCCGTTTCACTTCCTCGTAGTTTGTTAATAGCTTTCAACATGCGACTACACGAATTTCTAAGTATGATAGAGAACAACGACAAATTAATAGATTTTCTTGTTGATCGTAAAGTTATTCATGGAAATATTAAATGTCCAATGTTCGCGTTTGAAGCGCGTAGGCAGGGAGGCTGCACTTCCCCTGCACCCTCCCCAAAACCTACCTTAACCTAACCTCCAAAAGGGGCTTCGCCTCTCCCCGTGCTCCCCTCTTCGAAAATCAAGTACCGACTTTTTACAAGAAACGAATGTAATCGGAAGTCGTAACCCCCTGCGGAAAAAAATAACGATTTCCAATTACATTAGCTTCTTGTGAAAAACTTCTTTTAGAGATTAGGTTAGGTTAGGTTTTGGGGGAGAGTGCAGGGGGGCGCAGCCCCCCTGCCTACGCGCTTCAAACGCGAACAAAATGTACGTGGGACCGAAAAATAAGAATTCATTCGTGAAACTTCTTCCCCTTCAATATAATAAAAAAATGAAATATTTGCATATAAGTAATTCGTTATTTTTCTCATTCTTTCATTGTATAAAATCCGCCTGCCTACACGCTCACAACACGAACGAAAAGAACACAAATACTAATATTGTTCCGAAACTTTGAACTGCCATATCTGCTAAACCAAGGCAGTCCCCTACGAAATTTTTTCACATAATTACTCGGTATGATCTGCCCTACAACATATCTGAAGCACATCGAAATCGGAGATGTGTGACCTAAGATGCATATTTACCCAAAAGTTACTTATTTTTTACGCTCTGTATGTGATTATCTCTCATGTATTTTCTCTTTCTGTGTACTTTTCTGGTTTCTTCTTATTTTCATCAATTTTGTACTTGAAACCTAACCTCTAACTCTCAATTTATCACTGTGAGTGAATAACTCTTTATTTTTTTATCTTTTTTTTTATATTGTTTTAGTATATCTACTTCTTCCGTAGAAGAAAAATAACAATAAACATCATCTAACCTTTTTTTTTTACGTGGTGGAAATCCATTACGGATATTCTGATCCCCGGGGGAGAGGATCAGGGTTATGTAAGACTCCCCTTTTCTTCACGCAAGGAGAAGGGGTATACCCACTAAAACCACCACGGTGTGTCACCACTCGGCCCTTGGCGGAGAAGGACCCGGGAATTCCTGTCAGAGGATGCGCGCAGGTCCCTCCCTCGGGCTTAGGACTTCTCGAGGGGAGAAAGGAGTTCCCTCCCCTATTTGATTCCTCGTGATTTTGGTGACACCGCAGGACACACACCGCAGTGTCACCCCTTCCGGGACCGTGTTCATAACAGGCCAAGATCTCCATCCTGACCTGTCACGGTCCCCGCAGTGACAAAGAAGAAGAAGAAACCATTCTTTGGGTGGACAGTACTACCCCGGAACTGGTCACCGCGTGCTACCTTCACGTATTTGAAAGGTGTCCCGCTGGAGCGGTGGGTTAACAATGAGAACCGGCTCCCGCTAACGCCCACCGCCCCAGTCTCCCTCTCCTTCCAACATGGGTGGAGAGGGGAGGTTACTGCTACCGCGGCAGCGAGAGACCTGGACCCCGGGGACGTGCACGGGAAACGGATGCCGCCTGACAGCCCGCTCGCACACGCCCCGGAGGTCTCTAGCGAGGGATAGGAGCGCGCTTCCGCTCCCTTCCGGCAGCCTCCTTCTGCTCTATCACAACGGAACAAAAGGAGATCACCGCTCTCCACTTTACCTTTTCCCCGGAGCCAAGTGTCCTAAGAAGGCCCTCCAGGGAGAGGTCATCTCCAATATTGGCAGCCAGCTCTCGGCGGTCGTCTGCTCACCGTGGACATTCCTCCACGGTGTGCTCTACCGAGTCGCTGGCTGCCCCACACTCGTGGCACTGTGCCGTTGGCTCTTTGCTTATGCGACACAGGTATTCACCGAAGCAACCATGCCCGGTGAGCACCTGTGTTACCGTGTAGGTGAGGTGTCCGACCCCGTTCTGTAACCACATCTCCAGATGGGGTCGGATCACCGCGACAACTTCTTGGACTGCCGCACGAGGCTTGTCCAAGTGCTGTTCCCAGTTCAGGAGCAGCTGTTGTCGGGCTTGGCGCTCCGAGTTGGCGAGGGCCTCCCGCAGGTTGTTCTCTGCCAGACCTTTCTGTAGCAATTCGACGCGGCAAGCATACCTCGTCGCGTACATTTTTGTCAGAAGGGCCAGAGGAGGTACCCCCACCAGCACACCCGCTGTCTCCGTGGCCATGTCTCGGAAGCTGCAGATAACGCGCAGAGCAACCGTTCTCTGCGCGGCGCGAAACTAAACAAACTTGCTCCGCGCTCCTGCTTCTGCTGCGACTCCCGCCCAGAGCGGTGCCCTATATAAGGCCATCACGTGAACCACGCTGACATACAGACGACGGGCCTTCTGCTTTGGTCCCCCGAGGTTCGGGAGTAGTCGGGCCAGAGAATTGGCAACTTTGCGAACCCGGGGGGCCAGACAAGCAAAGTGCTCGTCGAAGCGCCACTTCGGATCAAGGTGTATACCCAGGTACTTAACGGTTGTACCCACCTCAATCCTTGTCTCACCTACTCGGAGGCTGGTCTCTCTTGGCCGTCCACGGCAGGGTCCATGGAACCACATGGCCTCTGTCTCGTAAACGGCCACTTTGAAACCCAATCTTGTTATGCGGCCAACGACACAGTTAGTGCCTACCTCGGCCAATCTTTGTGTCTCGTCCCAGTCTGCTCCAGAGGCCACGACAAGAGTGTCATCCGCATAGCAGATGACACTCAGGCCTCTGGGCAGAGTGGCCTGGATCACCACATTGTACCCAAGGTCCCACAGTAGGGGGCTTAACACGGACCCCCAGGAGTTAAGCCCCCGCGGTACATTTCCCTACAATGGGGCGATCCGTACTGGCCGGTGTACCTAACCTCTCTGCCAGGAAAATAGTCTCCGAGGATTCTACTTAGATAGGGCGGAACCCTGTGTCAATTCAGGGCCCATCCTATGCTATTCCAGGGGAGAGAGTTAAAGGCGTTGCAGATGTCAAGTGACACCGCCAACGCCCTCCCTCCCTGCCTGACCGACGCACAGTGGTCCGGTTCGCCGAAAAAAGCGCGCACGAGACAAAAATAGTTTTGATGAAGAATCATATTATTTTTATGATTTTCAGCAAATAAACATCCTAAATTTCGAGAAACTGATATTTAAAAGCGACGAAGTCACTCTCCCTTTCAAATAACATTGGTCCGCTCTTTTAGTCAGTCGCGTGCCGCGAGTCACTGATGGTGCGGACCGATACGGAAAGCATTTAAAGTGTTTACACTAAGTGTTTATATAGTTTTTTAATATGTCATCAAACGAGGAAAGTAAGTGCTTTATTTTATTTTAAAACAATTGATAATTTTTATTATGTAAGTTTCAATATTAAATATTAAATATAAACAATTTTTACCGCTTGCTTTGTAACTTATAATTTTTAAAAATTGTAGAACTTTTGAGGTTTACGTGGGATTACAATGGTTTACATTTTAGATTTTATTCTGAGTTTTAGTAAGTTTATTGCCACTAATATTAGCCGCTGCTTTGCGCAGCCTTCGGCGTAATAAAATTTCAAAGTTGTGCATGCAGTTGTTAGAAGAGCACAAGCGCGCGCGCCATGCTTTTTTGAGGTTCTCTCGTCGCGTTGTGATACACTGTACTGTATTGAATGTAATTTTTAATATTACACTAAATGGAAGTTACACTGTCAATTGTATTTTTTAATATTTTTTATTATTTTAATTTTTAATATTTTTTATTATTTTAATTTTTAATATATTTTTTATTATTTTAATTTTTAATAGTTTTTAATATTTACATAAATATAAATAAATAGCAATACAACTTTTTTGTACATATTGTGTATTTGGCATTTTCATAAATACGTACCATGTTTGTTCACNGTTGATTTCTCAAGGCGTTTTTTGTACCAGACGTTTTTACTGTCTAAAAGCTTTGCTGAGGGTACTAAAAAAACAGAGAGCTACATTGTAAATAATCTCGGAAAAATACCTGACGATACTGACATTCTAAGTTTCGTAAAAAATTGGAAGAGTAAGTGGCTTCAGTGTCACCGAAATCGTAGAACGTTTGAGGCAAAACATAAGGATTGGCTCGACGTGACAGTCATAAAAAATGCATCTCCAGTAGAAGTACCTCGAGTTGTAGGCAAAAAATCAGTCAAAAACTTTGACTCCTTGAGTATTTCCCAAAAACGACGGAGAACCAGTAGTATGAATTATATATTATTTGTTTCTCTTTTCTTAACATTGTAAGCTACTTAAACTAAGTAAAGCTTTATTTGAAGTATAGAATGTGTGTGTTATAAACATTTTTGTCTATTCTGAGAGAGTTTATATATATTTTCAAACTGTACAAATTGCTCTGAATAACTAAAGCACTGATTCTGATGGCTTATTGCATGTTTAACATGACTTATTATATTCTTGTAATGTTTGAAATGTTGCGAAATACAAGTTTTAACTTTTACTACTTATTTATTAACTATTNTGTATACTAACGTTATTAATATTTTTTGCATAAATATGTGTTATTGCATGGGTTTAACATATGTGATTGCATGGCATGGTTTTTCAATGGTATGTAGATTTGCGAAATTTGGATACTAGTGAATTAACAATTAATAAAGAAACCTAAGGCTCTCTTGAAGGAATAACTAAGGAATGAATAAGAATAAGATCATATGGGCCGCTTTGCAGGATGTTATGCTGAAATGTTCTATTATATATATGTATACATATATATATGTTCACATGTAAATTTTTTACACGTGTTTTTTGAATTGAAATTTTAATTCTTAAAATCATACAGTATGCTATACTTGCATCTCATGTATGAAAGACCCCGAATACCCCCCGAACTAATTTTAAAATATTGCGAAAAAATACTCCTCAGCCAGGAGTCGAACTTGGAATCTCCGGCTTTCCGGGCCGTCGCCTTCCCTGTTAGTGAATTAATGTTCGCATGTGNATCATCTTTGCGAGCAAATCATAAAAATAATGCCTCAACATTAANTAAAGAGATGCAATTATCGCCTACAAGGGCATCAAAAATGCTTCAAGCATATAAACAACCAATCATTCAACCTGGCCAATATACAAATGACGAAGCGCTATCACTGATTATCGATGGGCAAATAACAAAAAGCCAGTATAATATGATAAGGGTAGCATCGAATGATAAAGGAGTTATTTTTTAACAAATTTCTAATTTCTAAATTTATTATATATATTATATATTATATATATAACAAATCCATAAATAATGTCAGAACTTAATTACTCTGTTATATATATGTGAATATCTAATCTTATTTTAGGAATAAATTTATATCCTAATTATGGTCATAATATTATCGAGGCTAAAAAACGATGCTATCCAGATAATATACAAGTAACTGAGTTGGAAGCTACTGTCAATTTACAAAGCTTTCTAGATCACACAGTATCTCGTCTACTTCTAACTGTAGAAACAGAATATATACCACATAAATGTATAGTCTTCTATAAGTGGGGTTTTGACGGCAGTTCGGGACATTCTGAGTATAAACAAATATTCAAATGCACAGAAGGTAGTGATTCGACAGTAGTCACAACGACAATGGTACCAATACGCATAATAGCCGATGATGAAAGTTGTGCTATTATGTGGCAAAATCCAGTACCATCATCAACCAGGTTAAAGATTCTTTTTATAATAATTTAAAATTGTGAATATTAAACCGCTTTTATATATAATATGTTAATAAAAACCGCTTGTATAAATACAAATATTAAAAATATAATTCAGATACTGCCGACCGGTGAGAATAGCGTTCGAAAAAGAAAATAACGAAATAATAAAACGGGAGTACACGTGAGTGATGAATGACATACAAAATTTAGCAGAATGTCTTATTACTATTCATGATACAAACATTCGTCATGAGCTAATTTTAACAATGGTTGATGGAAAAATCATTAATGTCATAGAGGAAAATGTTTCATCGGTAAATTGTAGAATTTATATTGCATAAATTCGGTAANTTGTAGAGTTTATATTGCACAAATTTGGTAAATTGTAGAGTTTTAAATTGCATAAATTCGTAAATAAACTTTTCTTGACAAATTAGAATAATGTAAGTTTATGCGAATTTAATTCAATTTAAATTATAAATTAATTTTATTTTTCGTAAAGAGACTATAATTGAAAACTTGATTTACTTTTAGAGGTGTTACATCTGTAAATGCGGACCCAAAGATATAAATAAATTAGAAAACATGAAGAAAAATATTGGACATCAGGATCGTGATAAACTCAAGTATGGAGTCTCACCTTTACATGCGAGAATTAAATTTTTTGAATGCCTCTTACGTCTCTTTCTTATAGGTATGTGGACATAAATATTATTATCTTATTTTTACATTAGAACTGATCAGTAAGAATTAAAATTTATCGATATACAAATAATACTAATAATTCTTAGACTTGCTCTTCCATTAAATGTTCAAAAAAGAGGAAATCGAAAATCAGACAAGACGCATCATACAATATTAGAGGAACGAAAGAAATTCAGCGTCAATTTAAAACTAAGATGAGACTTATAGTCGATGCCAAAGCCAGGTTAATAAATATTACATTACCTGGGAAATCAAGTTTAACTTTTCTTCCCTTTAAGTATAAATTGTTCATTTTTATATAAGCTTTGGATCCTCAAATGATGGCAATACTTCGCGGCGATTTTTTGCGAATACAGAAATGTCATCAGAGATTACTGGAGTTAATGAGACAATTACACAGCCACACAAAAAAAAATTTCTTTGGCCTGGGGATCAAACCATGTTTATTATATGTTTTTGGGGTCGCTGAATCCGAATCCGAGGTCCATTAAACCCCATCGGGTCGGAGTTCCGCCATAACCTCAAAAAACACCATAATCTGAGCTCGAAACCCATA